CATCACAATTTTTTTTTTTTTTTTTTTTTGTATAAATACATTACGACGGTGTTTCGTAGGAATTAAAATTAGATTTTTTTAGAAAGAGGTTTTTGAAATGTGTGGTTGAAAAGTTGTGAGATCGATGAAAAAAGTGATTAATATTGATTATTTGACTTTGATTTAAATTAAAATCTGAACCAAACAAGTTGTATATTTTAATATCGTACTTATATTTTTGTCTTTTTTCTTCGTAACATTCTTATTTTTAACATTTTATTGACCAAAAAATCTTGTCATTAATCATGATTTTCGTCCAAAAATAATATTAATATATTTTAAAATGAGGATCAAATATTTAATCGTGTTTTTGCATCATTAATTTTTTTTAATTTAAAAATACAATAGACAAATAAGATCCTTTACTCTATCTTAAACAAAAAAATTGTAAATAAACTATAATGAAGAACAATTTATGTTAATTTGAGAATAAGAATGAAATAAAAAAAAATGGGACGTAAATGTAATAATATATAAAGATTTGAATCTTTTATGCAATTAAAATATAGTGTAGTTATTAAGAAATGCAATGTTAATATATTTAGTCTATAATGTTTGTTGTAAATTAATTATTAGTTGAAAATGACAATTAGACCCCTGTAATTTATTAACGTTTACAATTAAATACAAACAAGCGATAAGTGTTTTTAATCTTTTTATCCTCTTATATTATTCTTGTATTCTCTTAATTTCAAATCACGATATTCTAGTCAATTAAATAAAGTAAAAATGGGTGAAAATTTTTAAAAAGAAAAGCATAAATTCCAGCTAATTGAATTTCAAAGTGATCTTTTATTTCAGTCACAAAATAAAGGCAAACCGAGTATGCATATTTGATTTTATTTTATTATGTATATTAAGCAATATTGTATTGACAATAAGAAATTACGATTTTATACATTTCCATGTGAACGTTGTATTGACCATAAGAAATTACAATTTTAATCAATACCGTTCTTAAAGAAGCGAAAGTTTATTAATATCAATATATCAAAAAATTATTATTTAATTTATAACTCGAGAAAAAACATTACTTATAAATCAATACTCTTGAAGAATATTGCGTTTGTTCCGAAACTAACTTTATATGAATAAATATATTAATGCTCTAGAAGAAACATAACTTGATATCAGTATTCATCTTGTGTTCGACACACCAAAGATAAACGTATGGTGGACCCCAATGAATTATATGACATGTCATCGATATTTAACATAAATGAGCGCGCGCATGCGCACACACATATATTACATCTATACAACTTATTCGGCCTTTCGTACATTGTGAAATGTCACATTATGATTTTGAATATTTTGCATATTTACATTTTATGGCTCTAAACATGTGAGAGGTCACAAATTCTTTTTTCTGTAACACAAATATCCATTCTCATACTTACTACGGGTACCTACCTATAGTACGTCCAAATATCAATTTGAACTTATCATGACCCTCCGAAGGAGAAATGAAAGTGAAGGAAATTAACACAATAGTACATTCTACGAATTTTATGGAAGACTTCGGAAGAAACAATATTGTTCACGTGGGAATGAAACTTATTATTGAAATATTTTGTTCTCTTATATTCTTTGGTACAGAAGTACGTAAAATGTTATGTTGAATTATCACGACTCTTTGAAGGATCGAACAGGTGGCCACCTACCCTTCTACTTTTATCTCGTTACAAGTAATACGTGCTCACTCAGATTGACTGATTTATACTAAAAATGAGAGAGATTTTTTTTTCAAAAACACAATAATTTCGGAAAAGATGGCAGTACATGGTGAACAAGCACATGACAATTACATAGGACGGATTAGTGGTTATGGAAAAGGCAGTCTACTTTAAGCAGCCAAATAACAACAATTCTGGTCGTATAGAAGGGTATTTACACCCTTCTTGATAGATCAGGCACATGAAGAGGTGGGGGTCACGACTTTTTGCATTTTTTATTCATGTGGGGTCGGCTCAGAACCCACACACATGTAAGTATCTATCATATCGGGTGTAAACCGTTTTCTGGCAGAGGAACTTTATTCACCAAATAATATGGCCCTAACTACAAATACTCAATTTCATTTCATACAAAGAAAGGAAGTGTGTGCGCAGAAGTGTACAGGCGATGGGGGGAACCTGTGATCCAGTTGAAGCATAACCCGCGATTTATCCCTCCAAGGTTCTAGAGGCAAGGGTCTGAGGGTCCAGAATTTAGTTTAGTGTAAATTGGGATAACTGGATATCAAAAAAAAAAAAAAAAAGAAAGGAAGTGTGTGCTACCTACTATGCGCTGTCATGTGTTAACCAAGCAAAGGCACATTAACTTGATGGGTGAACGATCAGAGAATCCTTCACCATAACACCGTGAATGCAATTTATATGAGAGAGATCTCTAAAACGTTTTCCTTGCTTCTCGTTTAGGAGCAGCCAAAAAGTAAGCTGTCATACTTAGCCTTGTTTGGTATTAGATTTTAATCTAAAATAACAAAAAGCAACAATTACTTTTAACCACACATTTTATGGAACTCACAACTTTTCTATCATATATTTCATCAGCTTTTATCAAAATCTACTAAAATCTAATTTTGATCCCCCTCAAACAAGGGCTTAGTGTTTGTTTGACATAGCTTATATAAAATTAAGAGGCATTTTCAAGAATGTCCAATTTTAAGGGTTTGAGTTGAAAAGTGTCCACCCATCTGAATTTAGTACCAACTTGTCTATCATGCCCTTAATGAAAAAATGGAGCAATTGAATGTCGTTCTCGACATTTGATTTTTTTTCAATTTGTCATGAATTTCGAGAAGTATCTTTCATGAGACACTACATTAAAATAATGTTTCTCGACATTTCATATGTAATGCTCAACATTTGAACACCGTTTCATTTGTCTAGAATGCTATTTCATTTGAATATGACATTTCTCTACATTTGAAATGTAGTTCTCGACATTTCTGAGTCAATGAAAAGCATAGTATTTATTGTAATTTGACATGTATGCTTTTGAAATAAATATAACAGATTATGTGTCAATTTTATTGGCCAATAATAATTTTGCAAAAATGTCTATTTTTTTGTCTTAGTGTGGAATTATAAATTGTTAATAAGGGTATTTTCGTCTAAATTTTTCCAAATTAGACATTTTTGCAATGGTGGACATTTTTACAAATGACTAAGTAAAAATGGACATTTTGTGAAATTTCCTCTTAATTTGTTTACATCATTAGACAGTCTATTTAATCATTATCAGAGTCAGAAAGAATTATAGGTATCAGCACAAGTTTTCTTATTTAAATCATGTCAACCTAGAAATGTTTACATAATGATATATCAAACCTTCAACGTCAACATTCAGGCATGATGAGTTGTTAAGTCTTACAATTTGTCATGATCAATTAAAAATTAAATTGACCTACAGACTGATCATCTGAGGCACCAAACCATTCATCGGCTCCAGCAGCTCCTGACCACCCGTCAAGCTGCACGGTGTTTCCTGGCCATCATGGAGTACTTCCACCGCCTCTGTGCCCTCAGCTTTCTTGTGTTGGACCGCCCCAGGCAAGAATGAGAAAATCCCTTGCCATCTGCACCTTTATTATATAGACCTTTTTACTGTTTTATAGATGTATATATAGAGATTATAGAACAACTAAATTAAGACTTTTATAAAAGTAGAAGTAATTAAACTTCATTTCCTTTGTTTTTCCTTATTATCAACGATGGATTATTGATAATGATTAATAGGATAATGAGTTAACAAATAACTTTTGACTGATAAATGGAAGATGAAGATGTTTAAGGCTTTGTTATATGGTCGAGTTACAAAAAATAATTTGTTTTCTGATAAGTAAATCCAAGATGTCAAAATATATGTGTTTAAATTATCGAGTAATGACAGGGACAAAAAAAAAAAAAAAAGTCATGCAGCCATGTTAGCAGCAATCAAGAGATACGTGCCATCTTTGGTAAGTCTCATCCATTCATAATTTTGCTCTTGCGATATTTCTTTAATCTTCACCAAGTTCTTACATAGTCATCTTGTCGACTAGATTCCTTCACCCTACTCTTCTGAACGGCTCGCATTAATGAAGCAATTAAAGAGAACGAAGAAGATGGCAATTCAACAGAGCAAGAGCATAGGCTAAATTCCCTTGAAAGTTAACTAATCCAGTAGTGAAGATATTATCTACTTAACACTGTTTTGAAACAGATGTATTGTCCATTAGAACATTGTATAGTATTAAGAAATAAAATAAGTTAAAATCGTGTCGACTGTATTGTCATGTCGTATTCATGCAAATATTGTGGATTACTTATGCAGAATCTGTACTGTAAATTTCACGAGTTTAATCCTGTATATGAACTTGGGCATCTTGGTCCTTTTTTCTTTTTTAAATAAACTATTCTCAAGGCCTCAATTAGTCAATATATGTTGTACAGTTTACTCAGATAAACATATCCTTAGAACATTTATATTTTTAATTTGGAAAGTGTAATTATGTCTGCATGACTAAATTAAAAGGATTAATTCATCATCCCTTTCCCTGTATAGTTAACAAATCGAACTGTCATGTGTTGAATGGAAAAGATACATGTTGAATTCCTAGTAAAGCCATGAAGGCCCAGCCCGGCCTGTTCATTATTTCAAACTTTCACACGTTTACTCGGGCCGAGGACACTTATTGTCAGGACCAGGAAGTATTAAAACTAGCCTGGTCCGAGTCATCATGCACACTTTGGATCCGATTATCGGGCCCTGCCCGGCCCTAGAGGTCGAAAACTCTGCCAAGAAGCTCGGCCCATAACTTTTTACACTTACGGGATGTCCACAGACCACAGTTAATGTCAAGAATGCTGTTTACTATTTTCAGGTGTCATCAGATAAAACCATCACACCTATCAGCCATCAGATAAGATGAACAAGAACCACAAATTCAATTCATCAAATTACAATGCAAAATCCAATATATACAGATTCAAACTATCTTAAAAGTGCACTATTCTCATCCAAATATCCCTAAAAATGGGAATACTTCAACTCAACTCACATAATTTAGCTTCTTTCTCAGTATCCCATAATTTCAGCAACACCCCTCACAGAACTTTAAAGGGTTTTAATATTCTCAGTCTTCCCCGAGGGAGAATTCCGGCCATCGGAACTACCCGCCAGAGTGAACCGGAGACTGCAGTATCGGAAGAAGAAACAACTGAGGCTGCAGTGAATTTTGCATTTGTTAGTGTGAGTTCAGTTTACTATTAACCATCAAGTTTGATATGCTGAATTGGACAGAATAGTAAATCCAATAAATCAAACATCCATTTAATGTTTGACAAGCTGGACAGAAGAGTCGAGAAACATTTAGCATATTTCTCTCATTTAATCATGTCTAGTTCAATTCAATGTCTCAAACATCATATTAATATACACAAAAATTGTAATTGTAGTGTGACCTTGTCAAGTTTGTGTGTATTTTCCTAGTCTGTTTTGCTTCCTGATGGAACACCGGATGTGCATTATCGAACAGCCTGTGGTGGACAGAAACTTAGGGACATAATGTTGGACAACAACGTCGAATTGTATGGACCATACGTAAGCTCCTGTTCTATTTCAGTGCATCTAGCAAGGACTGGCGAAGACAATTTTTGTAGCCGATCCAACATCCAAATTTATTGAGTTCTATTTTAACGTTTCAGGCTAGACCTCTGCTAAATTGTGGGGGAGGAGGAACCTGTGGAACGTGCCTTGTTGAGGTTGTCGAAGGAAGGGAACTATTGACTCCTCGTACAGACAAAGAGAAGGAAAAATTAAAACGGGTATGGAGTTTTCTTTTTTAATACTGTCCAATCCTATACGGCATACTGCTAAATGGCTAATGAGTTAGTTTCATTTTGCAATTTCAGAATCCGAAGAATTGGAGACTGGCTTGTCAAACCACTGTTGGCAATGCAGATTCCAGAGGCCTGGTTTGTATTCCTTTTTTCACTGTCCTTTTCTATAATTTTTCCATATTTTTCATTCTTTACATTTTAAAAGTAGACCGAAAAATAAATAAATAAATAAATAAAATAAAATGAGGAAGAGTAGGCCGGGGCAACCCGACCTGCCCCGTTGTAAAACAGGTGTGGTCTGTCTGTGACCCGGGCTGCTTCAGACGTAAAGTCGAAAGATGTATAGACCTCTATGATAGTACCTGCAAGACTTGATTTACACCACTACTTTTAGTGACATTCTTTAGGATTGAACAATCAACCACAACTCTTTTGGTACAATTTTCTCATCTAGTTTAGGGTCATATGAATTTTTCCTCGATGAATTTTCATTCAAATAATTCGTTAATTTCAATTGGAAACTTTAGGTGCATATTTGGTGCACAGGACTAAGATGACTGAAAAATACCTTCCTTTGTAATAATACTTCAGGCCAACATATATAGCATGACATAAATGCTTTAACCGACATTTGTCCTCATCCATCTAAAGTTCAGAATGTTTTATCTTTTCCCTCTTAATGATGCAGGTTGTAATCCAACAACTTCCTGAATGGAAAGGGCATGATTGGGTTTATGGAAAAGAACCACCACCAGAAGATGAAACTGCCACTATTTGACATTTTAAATTACACAATCAAAAATTCTGCTTTGGATCCTGATGAGTTATTCAAATTAAATCAGATACTGCTGGTCCCCTCTTCTTGTAGAGAATACAGCAAAATCAAGATTGCAATAGATTGATCATGTTACTTCTTTCGTTGACAAAATTTGATGTAATAATTTAACTGCTTGTTTTGTATGAAGAATTAGAGGAGACTCGAGAGTATAATGAATAGGATTTTAATATATTTTTCTAATATTGTTTAGTGTTATCTAATTTTGACAAAAGTCAAAAGATATCAAAAAGGTGCCAGGAGCATCTATAGAGAATTGGGACCAAACCTTCGATTAAATGATCTTTAAGAAAGCAACATTACACCAGAAAATGGATTTACAGCAAAGAAACCATGATGAAATAAAGGAAGAAAAGCAAAAATTTCCTCTTCTTCCTTTCATTACCAAAAGAAAAGGTGAAAAAGTTTCAATTTGAACACGTTGAAATTACAAACGAAATAGTTTAAAAGTCGGTAGGTAGGGGAGCATGCTCGTGGGACATGAACACATAGGCGTAGACGAGACCGGCGAGGCCACCACCAATGAGGGGTCCAACCCAGTAAATCCAGATGCCGGAGAAGTTGCCGCTGGCCACAGCCGGTCCGAAGGAGCGGGCAGGGTTCATCGACCCACCTGAAAATGGACCGGCAGCCAAAATATTGGCACCAACAATGAAACCAATGGCTATGGGTGCAATTGTGCCCAATGAGCCCTTCTTTGGATCAGCTGCTGTCGCATACACAGTATAGACTAAAGCAAATGTGATAACAATTTCCATAACAACTCCTTCAAAGGCTCCAACACCAGCACCAACTCCATGAATTGGAATAGCCTGCATGAAATTATATATTTTGTTAGGAATCGAACTAATCGGGGTAGTTTAGCCAGAGAAATCAAGAATCGGACTATAAAAACTCTGTAAATAAAAACCGACTCGAATTTTAAAATATTATTTTGGGTGGACATACCAATCCTCCGGTTACGAATACGAGTAAATAGCATGCCACAATGGAGCCCAAAAGTTGAGCAATCCAGTAAAAGAGGCCAGTAAGTAGCGTAATTTGGCCGCCAACAGCCAAACCAAAGGTGACTGCAGGGTTTACATGGCCACCGGAGATGTTGGCTCCGATCGAGACGGCTACAAACAGAGCGAAACCATGGCAGATGGCCACAGCCACCAGCCCCGCCGGATCAAGAGCTGCGTCCGCCGTCAACTTGTCTGTCAAAGATCAAAATGTTACCAAGTGCTTGTTAACTTAAAAAAAATAAGAAAACGGTTTTAGAACTAACTGTAGGCAATGGCGGAGCCGACTCCGGCGAAAACAAAGAGCAAGGTGGAGATGAATTCAGCTACATAGGCCTTCAACGAACCAATGCTAAATGAATCATCTAATCTTCCGACAGCAATTGCAGGCATTTTGATGATTAGAAAGAAGTCTCAAGAAAATTTTCTTGACGACAAGAAGACTATGTTTTTCTGATGCACACACAAACTTCCTTCACCACACATATATAAAGAGAGGGAATACACAAGATATAATAATATTGGACTTTATTTAAATCCATTCATGGGTTTCTTTCCATGGCATATGCTTTTTTGCCTTGTTACAAGACAAAAAGGAATAATGGCCCGTTTGGCATGCTTTTAAAAGTTATGAAAATAATTTTAAGATTGTATTTGAACATGTTCAATAATTTTTTGGAAATATTTTGTCTGACTAATTAATTTTTTTTTTAAAAGAAAGTTAATCTAAAGTAATTTCACCGTAAAATTCTTTTATAGAAAGAAAAAGTAAAAGTAAACCCTAATTAAAACTCTATCCTATGTGGAAATTCTATCCCAAATTATGATCCGAAATTCCTTTTGTATATTGTTGCAATATATAATTATTTTATTTCACTTTGCAATACCAATATTAATCAATGTTATTATGCCCGTTTGGTATATACTATTATTATTATTATTATTATTATTATTATTATTATTATTATTATTTTCAAACTAATTTTTAACTATATATTTTATGATCTCTACATTTTTTTTAATCATACATTTAATTAATTTTTATCAAAATTTAGCAAATTTTTAGCTAAACCAAACAGATTTTATAATTGGAGTGGACGAATCGATTTGACCAAAAATAAAAGAAAAAAAAATGGTACTAATCCAACTTGAGTATAATTGAAAGTTGGAACGTAAAACCATTAAAACGACTTTAAAATTGACTGATTCACCCATAAATTGGGTGAATCAGACTAGTTTTATCGATTTATTATTAAAATAGATTGTATTTTTATTTATCTTTTTCTTCAATTCCAAATAAATTCAACTTAGCAAACATAAAATTATGGTTAGGGCTGGCATGGGATGAATTGAGTGATATTCTAATCCAAAAATGAATCAACAAGATAAATAATCTGACCTGAATCGATTTGGTTTGTCAAATTCAAAATTTTTTTACCTTAAAATCATTTTTTGAAAAACCAAATCCCTCTAAATCGGTCGATTTGGTTTGTCAAATTCAAATTTTTTTTACCTTAAAATCATTTTTTGAAAAACCAAATCCCTCTAAATCGGGGTTTTCCTCCCGATCAATCCAAACTAAACCGACTCGATTTTCGACGATTAGACGGATAATTTGCTCACTCTTAATTATTGTGGAGCGCTTTAATTAACATTATTAAATAAAAGGAATATTACAAACATCATAATAAATCCATTCACATCCAATCAATTTTGAGTTGCAATCCTAGCTGTCAGTAACATGGTTTCATAGAAATGTCTAGAGAGTGGACATAGTATTCCATGTGAAGTGGGGTGCTCTGACCCCCTCGTGAGTGATGTAAATGATTAAAAACAACGGTGATGGAGGCATGACCAACCGTGGTCCAGATACTCCGCCGACCAGATAATGAAATAGGGGATTATTTGTTAATTAATTTATTAATTTATTCAAAGTTTGTGGATCGGAATGGAAAGAGAATTATATTAAGATTTGATTTGTATTTAATTGGATTAATTAGGGTTTACTAATGGAAATTAGCCGGCTGGATAAGGATTGTAGAGCCTTGAGGGAATCTTTTGCGTAACTTTCTGGTATGACATTGATTATAAAACGTTGGTCATATCCACATCACTTTTTTTTTTTTTGTATAAAGACATTACGAGGGTGTTTGGTAGAAATTAAAATTAGATTTTTTTAGTAAATTATGAAAAAAGTTTTTGAAATGTGTGATTGAAAAGTTGTGGGATCGATGAAAGATGTAGTTAATATTGATTGTTTGCCTTTGATTTAAATTAAAATCCGAACCAAACAAGCTGTACATTTTAATATCGTACTTATATTTTTGTCTTTTTTCTTCATCACATTCTTATTTCTAACATTTTATTGACTAGAAAATCTTGTCATTAATTATGATTTCTGTCTAAAAATAATATTAATATATTTTAAAATGAGGATCAAATATTTAATCGTGTTTTTGCATCATTAATTTTTTTTAATTTAAAAATACAATAGACAAATAAGATCCTTTACTCTATCTTAAACAAAAAAATTGAAAATAAACTATAATGAAGAAAATTTATGTTAATTTGAGAATAAGAATGAAATGAAAAAAAAAAAAAATGGGACGTAAATGTAATAATGTATAAAGGTTTGAATCTTTTCTGTAATTAAAATATAGGCTAGTTATTAAGAAATGCAATGTTAATATATTTAGTCTATAATGTTTGTTGTAAATTAATTATTAGTTGAAAATGACAATTAGACCCCTGTAATTTATTAAAGTTTACAATTAAATACAAACAAGTGACAAGAGTTTTGAATATTTTTATCCTCTTATATTATTCTTGTATTCTCTTAATTTCATATCACGATATTCTAGTCAATTAAATAAAGTAAAAATGGGTGAAAATTTTTAAAAAGAAAAGCATAAATTCCAGCTAATTGAATTTCAAAGTGATCTTTTATTTCAGTCACAAAATAAAGGCAAACCGAGTATGCATATTTGATTTGATTATGTACATTGCTTGAATGTTACTTATTGAAAAGTAACACTCAAGCAATATTGTATTGACCATATGAAATTACGATTTTATACATTTCCATGTGAACGTTGTATTGACCATAAGAAATTACAATTTTAATCAATACCGTTCTTAAAGAAGCGAAAGTTTATTAATATCAATATATCAAAAAAATATTATTTAATTTATTGCTTGAGAAAAAAACTTAACTTATAAATCAATACTCTAGAAGAATATTGCGTTTGTTCCGAAACTAACTTTATACGGATAAATATATTAATACTCTAGAAGAAACATAACTTGATATCAGTACTCATCTTGTGTTCGACACCAAAGATAAACTTATGGTGGACCCCAATGAATTATATGACATGTCATCGATATTTAACATAAATGAGCGCGCGCATGCGCACACACATATATTACATCTATACAACTTATTCGGCCTTTCGTACATTGTGAAATGTCACATTATGATTTTGAATATTTTGCATATTTACATTTTATGGCTCTAAACATGTGAGAGGTCACAAATTCTTTTTTCTGTAACACAAATATCCATTCTCATACTTACTACGGGTACCTACCTATAGTACGTCCAAATATCAATTTGAACTTATCATGACCCTCCGAAGGAGAAATGAAAGTGAAGGAAATTAACACAATAGTACATTCTACGAATTTTATGGAAGACTTCGGAAGAAACAATATTGTTCACTTGGGAATGAAACTTATTATTGAAATATTTTGTTCTCTTATATTCTTTGGTACAGAAGTACGTAAAATGTTATGTTGAATTATCACGACTCTTTGAAGGATCGAACAGGTGGCCACCTACCCTTCTACTTTTATCTCGTTACAAGTAAAACGTGCTCACTCAGATTGACTGATTTATACTAAAAATGAGAGAGATTATTTTTCAAAAACACAATAATTTCGGAAAAGATGGCAGTACATGGTGAACAAGCACATGACAATTACATAGGACGGATTCGTGGTTATGGAAAAGGCAGTCTACTTTAAGCAGCCAAATAACAACAATTCTGGTCGTATAGAAGGGTATTTACACCCTTCTTGATAGATCAGGTACATGAAGAGGTGGGGGTCACGACTTTTTGCATTTTTTATTCATGTGGGGTCAGCTCAGAACCCACACACATGTAAGTATCTA